CATCGGATCAACAACTGTTGGACAATTTCGCAAAAAGCGTAAAACTTGTAAACTATGGAACTGCTCCAATGGTGTTCCCACATATGCTGCACGAGAAAAATGTGATAAAAATCGTCCTTTGAATAAGCTGCCAAAATGAAATGCTTCCAAAGGTAAAAACATATGCGCTGCTCTGAAAAACTTGTGTTAATTACAATTATAAAATGATCCAATTCATATGATACTATTTCGAATTCAGAAACTTTGCAATTTGAAATTTCAGATCCCAAATTTTCTGAAAATATTAGCAATAACGGCAAAAACAACATCACAAATATCATTTAGCAAGAATCTAACAAATCTTGGCAATCCTCTTTCTTTCCTTGTTTGCATTATCTTTTCTTTCTTATTGTCAATTTTTGTTTGCATTATCTTTTCTTTCTTATTGTCAATTCCTTATCAGTTCAAGAAATTCCGAAAACAAATCTTTATCTTTTTCAAAGAATTTTTGAATCTAAATAGCTAAATCATATAAAAATGGAGATGAAACTTACCACTTTGCAGAAAGAAGTATGACCTTTCTTGTTCACATGAATCCTTGCAATATGACTGTTTTATTCTGCTCTATCTTTTTTGGGACCATACAAATGGTAGGTTTATGCCAAGATAATCAATCTAGGCTAAGGATCAACTAATACAAAGATTTCCAAACTTACATACAGTCCTCTAAGAAGATTTGTTTATTTGCGGCTTGTAAGACAGCATTACATGAACTATTCAACTGAAGATTTTGGGTGATTATCTGAAATCGCATTGCAAGTGGAATTAAATTGAGATGCCAATGTTTAGACATCACCTGAAAAAATGAAAATAAATTTCACTAATTCAACGGAAATATAATAAATTTAAATAAATGAGTTAATAATACCTTCTTTCTCTTATTTAAAATAAATAAACTATTTAGGAAATTCCGAAAGGACGGAAATAAAGGAGCAGATATAAAGAAAAGCTAAGAAAAAGTGTGAATACAAGAATAGAAATGAAGTTAACACCTCTAAATTGAGCTCGGTCCACGGTTCACCATAATCATTGTCACCCATTTGTCGTTGAGTTATTGCTCCACATAACTCAACTCTTTCTCCAAACAAATCTTCCCAACCCAATAGTTGCTTAAAACATACCATTCATTATTACACTTACTCGTTGTTAACTTATTCATACGACGATAATATTTTCATTATGGTTTTACGATAATATATAAAATAAAAATATTTAATTAGGTGATTTAATTAAATGATAAAACAAATAAAACAATTTATTTAGCAATTGGTTTACTAAATAAATCCTTTCCTATATCCGGTTGGCTATTACTATTTCCGGAGTAGAAATAAAAAAAGATGAAAACCTAATTTTCACAAAATTAACAGATTAAAGAAAAAGCAAAGAGACAATTTGGATAACTTTTTATGCTCCTTGGAAGTTTAAAAAAGATTCTGTCCTAACACTCATCATTAAATTATTATGTTGATAAAAATGTTAGATTCATTGTTATGCTTATCATATCACAATATTACATATACTATCTTTTCCCGTAAAGAATATGTAACAATATACAAAATATCTTAGTATATTAATAAATTTTAATGCAATAAACGAAATGAACATCATATGAATTACCAAAGGATAAAATAGTAGCAGTGATAAGTCATAAGGAAATTGTTACTACTAATAAAATGATAAGTGAGTAGTACTAATAAATACAAACTGTAAATGAGTAATTAATTACCGATAAAGATTCCATGAGTGTATTCACAAGCTTCGCATTACAACCATTCAAAACAACTTTCAATTGGGTCGATTGAAAAGTGGTTTCTGTCTTTAACTCCATCAAACTTATCTTCCTTGGCCAATTTTATACCAATTCAACTAATAATTTATTCCTAAACATCAAAAATTTTCAATTAAAACAATTAAATTAAAATTATGCTAAAAATTTTAACACTTAAACAGACATTATCAAACAATCAGTAATAAATTTATTGATTATTTCATTGATTATTTGATGTTTAGTTTGATGTTAAAAACTTTTTTCTGTTTTTTTTTCAGTGAAAATTCGAATTTAATATTCAATAGATTGACATAACCATTGTTATCTAATCCTATTAACAACAATATTTAATTGATACCATTTGGCATGAAACCAAATATGATGAAACAATATGAATTTCCACTAACAACCAACTACATCAATTATCAACAACGTGATATTATCCATTACTTATTATCAAACAATGATACCATCAGTACCTCTTATCACTTCATCAACCGCTCAACAGTATAACACCAAAAGGAATTATGCAAAAACCAAGCAGTATCCCTAGAACAAAAAAAAAGAAATTTGCAAAGATAAGAGCGTTTCATGGAAATATGACGCGTTTTTACGAGATGACAAAAATATGCAAATATTTCCCGTTAATCAAAAGAAATTTAATTTTAACATATATAGAAAACTATACTTCTCGTATGAGTCATAAGGTCAACTTGCCAAGTCTTTACCTTTAACCTTATTTTCACATCCTTCTCTACAGCATTTACTATTTGCTATGTAATGGGTAAAGTCACTTAATTTCCTGTAATTTAAGATTTCTTTAAATCAATAAGTTATGAGTACATATAATGCATAATTTATGCTTTGCATAATTTTATGCATATTTTCCTTCTCAATTTCATTTTCATCCAATACTTTGCTTTGTAACTTATTTGCCTATTTCTTCATTTTACTTTTTTAAAGTACTTTTATTTCAATTTATTCCATCTCTCTTAGTTATAGTCACATATCTGTTGCATGCATTTTAGTTCTATTGCATGTTTATTTCATGCCTGTACATATCTGTTGCATGCATTTTAGTTCTATTGCATGTTTATTTCATGCCTCTTAGTAGTTACCATTTAGTTACCTTCTTCTACTGAGCGTTTTTGTTTTTCATTTCATTTGTTAATTAAACATTTTTTCCATTGCTTGCATTTTCTGCACGCCTTTTTCTCACTTACTGTGCGCTTTTTTTAAACGATACATTCAGTCATTCATTTTGTTAATGTTAATGAATGTGTAATTTTTGCGCCCAAAATATATTAATAATGCATCTTATTGCATGCAGTGCCCTATGCTAATTTTAATTATTGCCCTTTTTTTGAGATAATTTAATTCATTGCTTATATTATACTGATCACCTTCGTTTGTTTGCTACACGCTTTTTAATCTTTTTTTCTCACAGCATGCTTTTCTTGTAAACAATGCTATTTCTTTGCAATCTTTCGTCTGGTCGCATGCATTTTTTTTTTATCTTCAATTTTTGGGTAATTTTTTGATAATTTTCACTCTCTCTTTTTTATTATGTTTGCTTGCTTGTTAGCTTGCTTTTTCTAAATCTCATTTATTCTATATTTCCTTCCAATTACTTATTCTTGTTGTATGCCTCCATTATACTTTAAATCATTAAATGGTTTTTTGTTAGCAATATTTATATTGCATACCTTTACTGATAACCTTTTTCATATTTTATAGTTATTTCATTTTCGAATGACTTCCAATTTTACCTAGAATTAAATAAATATTAAACAGTATAATTTTCGAGTTTTTTTAATTATAAAATTACAGGTGCTAATCTAATTTATATCTACGTCATTATGCTATATGCAAATTATCTCCACCATCATAACTTTTACATGGCGCATTTGTTAAATATCTACCAACATCGCAGGAAATTAAAATACTACTTAAATTATTATTATCCTTCTGATCCATTTTATCCGTTGCTTTTTCTTTCTTTTTCTCATCATTTTCTTTTTTTTTCAGTTTTATAATTGTTTGTGAAATAGTTGAAATCAGTCTTTTTAAGTTTTTTTTCTGGTTTTATCTATTTTTGTTAAAATTTGAATTTCAATTTAATGAATATTTTGGTAAACCATCGTGTAGAAAAGGCGCAAGAAATTTAAGCTTCTGATTTGGATAGCTTCAATTATCTAGAATGTTCTTCTCGAAAACATAATAAACTTTAATTGCAAAAAAAGCAAAATTACATTGGATCAGTTTTTTTTCGCGTAGAAATCATTTAGTTTTACTTCATTTACCATTGAATTTTTCATTTCGCCACCATCTCTGTTATTGCGGAAAGATTCAGAATCCAGCATGCCTTCAGAAGATTAGATACTGTAATGCTTCAAAGATTAAATTATTTGAATTCATAAAAATTTTCTTCATTCTTTCTCTGTCTTAATGCCTCTGCCTTCATTATTATTGCAAACAATAATATTCACTATATCATTGGCTTTTTTTTTGAATTTTTCTTTTCAGTTTTTCAATTCAGTTTTTCATTTCAGTTTATGATTCCAGTTTTACATTTGTATGCCGTCTTTTTAATTTTTCATACATTTTCAGTCTTTAATTCAAATTGTTATTAAAAGCACTTCAAAAAGGTGATTTGAAATAACTATATTTGTGTTTTCCTAATTTTGTACATATTTGGTAATTTAAATTTTTAATTTTAATTTCTTTATCCAATCCGTATATCTCCATTTCATGCAAAGGATTGAATGTAATTATCGCGAAAGAATTGAATTCCTGTTACTTTAGCGGAAAAAATGGAATGGTGACATTATACGATGACATAGTTGTCGAAAGTTTTTGCGAAAAATAATTCAAATTTGCATATTTTCTTCGACATTCTTTTTGCGTTTTAAATTTTTTGTAATGTATCGCTACTTAAAATACATCAGTATAAATTGTTAGCAGTAATTATATTTCAGAGAAATAATTGCGAAGTGTGAAACGTTGATCGACAGAATTTTGAATTTTTTTAATTCTATTAGAAAAAGTCGTAAAATTTCAAAACTAATTAATTCAAATGAATGACATAGTGGTAAAATCAATGACATATTGGAAATTTATTTTATTTCACGCAATTTCGATAATCAAAAAGCAATATTTGCTAAAAAAATTGTTTTTTTTTTTAGTTAAAATTACAAGATATCATTTGTCTTTATCTTTAATTAATGCTTATTATTCCCCTGTAATTTTTATTTGTTCATAAACAAATGGTTTAATAAAAATATGATCTTTTGTAAAAACAGAAAATTTTTTTTTGCGAAATTTTATTATAAGTGAATCTAAATTATCTCTAATTAACGATCTGCTATTGTTTTCTAATTAATAGCATTAATTAATTTCAATCTTCTCTATGGTTATTTCATAATTTTATAGAACAAATTTTCAATGAAATTTATTACTTGTTAGTTTTTACGAAGAAAAAAAATATAATGCAAACAAAAAAAAAAAGGAAAGAAACGCAACAACTTAAATATTTATATATGTATATATCAATAAATATGGGACAAAACTGAAAATTATGAATAATAAATAAGTAATTAATGAAGAAATGAAATTCATCTTTATCGTCTCTTTAAAAAATAAAGCAAAAAAAAATTCAAAAGACTATTCTACTTTCTTTCCATAAATCATTTCTTTAATAAAGTTATTTTATTTCTTTCCAAAAATAAGAAGCAAAAAAAAAAGCTTATTTAAATAATATATTCCATTTATCTGATTGAATTATTTTAGTCGTATAAATTTTTCACTCATAATTAGTTAGTAATTAACAGTTTTATTTTCAACTTATAATTAATGAGAAAATAAAATTAAAGTCTTTTCTCCGATCAAAAATAAACAACCAAATCCAACTGTTAATTGCATTTTTTGTTTTTCCTCATTTTAGTCTCATTTTTTTTTTTTTTTTGCAATTCCATACTCCATTATTTATTAATAATACATACACGTAAATCAAATATACAATAATTAAATTGGGGAATTAGTAAATTATATGTTCAGCTTTATTTGAGTATTGTTTTTTATTGAAAGATTAATCGAAAATACGGAATAAAGAAGGGAGAAAAACAAGAAATTTCGAAATCAGTTGTTAAAATTGAAATTAAATTGAAGAAGTAATGCTCAAATTTAGGCTGGAAAATTGTCGTAATTGCACAAAATCAACAATCAATAATTTGATTTGAAAATATCATTAAAGCTGAAAATATACTTTTGATGATAACATAAATGCTATGGAAAATAGGAAATTTTGAATATATATGCCATTAAAAATGCTATCGTGAAATTTTTTTAAATTCTTCGAAAAAAATTTAAATTATTTCAAATTAAAGCTTTAAAAATATTTTTTTAAAAAAACGAATTTTTATTTAAAACAAAATTACAGCTAATACTAAATAATTTTATTTGCATTAAATAAAAATTGGTACAATTGAAATTTTTAGAGAAAAATTTGAAAAAATTGAGAAATTTTTGCATGAAAGTGACAATTAAAAACAACAAAAAGGTTAGAAAAATAAAATAAAATAAAAAATGATATAATTATGAATATTGTTGACAATATCGTTGACCCAAATTAGCAGCACCGATCCATTTTTTGAAATTTTGCAAATGTTTAGATGTTCGCTTCCTGGAAAATCGTTCTTCTGATGTAAAACAACAGCGCATTTGTGTTTCAGTGGATGAAATGAAATGTACACGAAAAAGTTCAATTTTATTTAGCGAAAAAAGTGTTTGCGCATCAACCGAATAATCCATCAAACGTGTTAATGCGGAATAGTCACGTTCACCAATTTGAACCGTAAACTGAAATTTTTTTATCAAATAAAAATTCATTATCAGCATTAATTATCAGTTAAAGTATTAATTATCAGTTGAAGTATTAATTATCAGTTATCAGTATTAATTATCAGTTAAAGTTTCCTTTTTCCTTTAACATTAATCATTTTGTTATTTTAGTTGAAATTATTGCTAGTATTGCATAATGAATTAATATAACACCTTTTTCTTTCTTTCCTTTTT